AGGGTTTTATTTGTGGAAATTGGGGCATCCGGTGCCGTCTACTTAGGGAAGCAGGATTTTTTTTAAACCACCCACCACCACCTCCACACACCAAAAAATTAATAAAATCTCAGAGAATACATTAATCATTTACATTATAGGTAATCTCCCAAGTTCAGGGTGTTTGGTGTTTTTTTTTTTCTCTCCTGAATATGGCTTATTTTGTGCCATAGGAATTATACGAACCTTACTGAAGCCTCTTTTCTATGTGCATATCTTTGATCTCACACCCTGTACTGGGTAGGGGCTATGAGCTTCATTTTACAGGTGAGAACACAGAGGTTAATAGTTGCCGGAGGTCACACAACTTCTAAGTAGCCAAAACAAGAGTGGAACCTTCTCAGTCCACTGTCCACTGTCCATTGCCCCACATTCCACCATCCCTTTGCTTGAGCCTGGATTCTTTCTATGTCCCAGCATCTGTCTCTTCTACCAGCCTTTGTGTCATATCCCATAGGATTCCTGGAGGGAGGCAACAACTAGTAGGGAAAGTTTAGCAGGAAGAAAACTAGCAGACAGGCTGACACCTGGCATTCCTAAGGCACAGAGGAGATCTCAGCTCTCTTTAGGAGCCTAGGGCTCAGTGTATAAAGGGAGTTACTGCTGGGTGAAGATTAAATAGAGTTTATTCATGTATGCAGCTAACATTTGTTGAGCACCTCCTATGAGCTCATCATGGTACTGGGCTCCGGTGATGTCCGGATGAATTAGAGAGCCTTCCTTGCATGGCATTCTGAGTTTGCAGTGAAGTGAGTGTGACAGATAAACAGAAGTACTGGAAGCAAAAGCATATGGATGAGGTGCTGCAAAATTCCTTAGCCAACTACCAGGTTCTGCTGATTCTGAACAGCTGGAGAATCCATCTCTAGGGCTGTTACTCTGCTGTAAGCCTCTATCACCTCGCTGATATCAGCAGGGCCTCCTGACATTCTACGTAAAACCTCTGATGACTTCTACACATGGCAACTAAAGGAACAATCTGACTGGTTTAAGTCCTCCAATGGCTCTTCGCTGCCCTTATGACAAGGTCCAAACACTGGAGCTGGGCCCCCTTCTTGCAGGAGGAGTCTGGGTCTTATTCACAGTTAAGTCCTAACACAGGGCTAGGGCATGGGTGGGCATTCGACCAATGTTTGTTGAGTGAATAGATGAGATCAAGGGTCTTTATGCTACAGAGCAGCCTCGTGACATCATAATGCAGATCCCCCCATTCAGGAGATGTTCTTGGTCTATGGTCAATCTAGGTAGTGCACTATAACCTCTTAATTTGACTTCATTTGAAATTTCTAAAGGTTTTTATCGGATGAGGAACACTATGATTTCAATGGAGCTAAAACTTTTTCAAAACATTATATAACCGTATGACTAATACCAAATTGTTAAGTGTCAGTCTGGCCCATAGCATAAGACTTTGTCCAGGAATATTTGGAAGAGATGTGGTGAGGCAGTGAGGGCTACAGGACTTTGTTCTATGACCTTGGGCAACTTACTTACAGCTTTAAGTCCCATGTAAAACTGACCCCTGCCTCCTCTGCCCCACAATGTCACTGTGAAGACCAGATGAATGCCATCTGAGTAAGGACTGTCCAAACCCTAAAGGGTTATGCATGTGTAAGGGATTACAGCTGTGACCAGAGAAGGCAGCGTCCCAATTGCCAAAGCTCCCATCACACTCCCGTCCTGGAAGTGGCTGGGAAGGTACCTGGGGGTTATCTTCATTGTTCTTATTTTTTCCCAAAGTGGGTCTGATCTGGTGATACAAACCTCTGGATTTCCTGCCTATTTCTTTAGTCTTCATGAGCGGAAACAGGAAGATCAATGGACCAGATGTTTTAGAAGTCCTTATATGGGGGGAGGGGATGTTGGATTCAGTGATCTCTGAGGTTCAGATATCCTGATTTTTTGCAGTTCTCTGACTCCAAGTCCTTTCCCTCAGCAGAAATCAATTTTAAACAATGACAAGGATTTTCTAGCAGAATTAGGCAACTTCTATAAACTCAGTGTCTGGAAACTCCCAGGAAGCCAAGCCTTCAGGCAAAATACTTCTCCTTCTTCAAAAAATGCAAAAGAAAAAGAGTTATTGTTAATTCATACAAGATTCCAAATACCTAATTCCCTTTGGAAGTCACATGCCCTGCTCTCCTGGCCAAAACTCTGTACCCAGGAGGCTGTACCTAGCTGGAGAAAGGGCCATATTATACCTTGGTATTTGCTGGTTCCCTAAAACTTACGCTTTGCCCATTGAAAATAAGAAAACATTTTTTAATCACCTCTCCAAAAGTTTACATGAGCCCAGAACATGGGGGTCAGTAGTTTGTCATTTTGATCTTTTGCTTTCTGAGTTCAGGCCTACAGTGAGAGTCATTCGTTCATCCATTCATTCACACTGAGACGCTCTCTGCACCAGGCATTATGCTAAATGCTCAGAGAAATGAATAAGACAAAGCCCTTGTTTACAAGTACTTCCCAGTTTATTGGGGAAATGCAGCATGGAAACAGAGTAGCAGAGTTCATGGATATTCTAAGATTGTACTGGACAGCCACTCAGCTAGGCCTAGCAGTGTTGAAGAAGGGTCTCTTGAGGGGCACATGATTAAGCAGGAGTAAAGGTGAAGTGCAGGGAGCAGGGGAGGGGCCTTTCAAAGGGAACAATTGGACAAAGGCCTGGAGGTGACTGCATGTGACCCTGACCTGCAGCAGCTCAGCATTACTGGATCAAAAAGTGTAAAACCAAGATTGAGGGACAAGGACATAGCAAAGAGACCAATCACAGATGACCCTGTGTGCCCCACTGAGAAGACCAGAGAACTGAAGGGTTGAGAGGTGATATTGACACATTAGTTCAATGAATATTTAAGTACCTTTTAGAGGCCAGCCTGATGCTTAGTGCTGGCTTCTATTTCATTCTAAAACCAGTTATAATTCTTTCTGCCTTGACTCAAAGAAAATAAGTTCCTTAGGCTGAGAGTCCAACATCTATACACAGTTGGTGCTTGATAAATGGTGACCAGGGGCCCTCCCTGCCAGGGAGCTGTTACTGACAGAGCAATGTTCAGCAAATGATGCAGTCTTCCACTCCCAGGAGCAGTCATCTCTGAAAAATGGCCTCCCCCTGCTTCTAACCTCACACTTACATTGTTTAAAGCAGTGGTTCTCAGCCTGTGGGTCGCGGCCCACAGGAACTGTATTAAATGGCTGCAGCATTAGGAAGGTTGAGAACCATTGGTTTAAAGCCAGATTCCCTGCAACCCGCCTGCTGATGGAGAGGAAGGCTGACTCTCTTGGCTCTTGACTTTGTAAAGCAAATGATTTTCTGCCTAACTTCACCCCACAGCAATTACAGAAAATAAATTGAAATGTAAAAACAGGGAGATGGCTAGCAGATGGGGCCAAATTAGCCTGGCTACCACCATCTTGGCTCTGCAGGATGCAGAAACTGACCCTGCTCACTGGAGTATGAAATGATCACATGATGAATCCAGGTAGGGGGAAGGCAGCTCCTGCCCAAAGCCCCTTGTACCTAGGAGCCCCTAATGGGAACTCCACTTCTGTCCGGGGTGATCCCTGGCTGCTGCTCCCACCGGAGGCTCCTCTCTTCTTGCAGGCTGGGCTCCGAGTCAGTCCTCAGGTTTCTTCATTTATTCTTTCTCCCCTGCCCAGAGGATGACTTGAGGGTAAACTCATTCTCCTCCAGGGCCCTGCTTCGTGGGCACAGATCTGCTCATCAGTGGCCTCCATAGTTACTTGTTGATTAGTGAGTACCTGGGTTTCCAGTATTCCTTACCCTGAACAGGTCGATGGTAAACACAGGCCCATGTGTTTAAATGCCCTAAGAGCCGGCCCTGCCCATTTTTGTTTTTCTCTTGGACTACTCCTTACATAAAGCCATTTTCTTTGTGGCCTTAGGTGCCCCAGAAAGGGACAGAGAACTCAGCTGGGAACAGGAGGCTGGATTCCTCAACCTTGGGCAAACTGTGGGCCCCAAACAAGTTAAGATCTCAGAATTCTCATGAGTAAAAATAAACAGTGGGCAGAAAGGCCTGTCTTGGCATTTTCAGTAAGGCCCAGAGAAGGCCTGGAGGACTCAGTGGCCCGGGACAGCACTAGACATCCCATCTCCCGCTAGTCGGCCGACTTCTCTCCCCTTCCCAGACCTGGGGTCACATCTGTGGACATGAACAGGCTCCCAATAATTTGAGAAAAGAGGCCCTTATTCCTATGGCCTCCCAGTTGGAAGATTCCTCTACCTTTACCTCCACACCAGTTCGCCTCCCGCTCAGGCTGTGGACGCTTCTCCCGTGGGATCCTCAGGGATGGGGGGATGGGCAGGACTTAGGCCCTGTTCCTCCTATGGGGGCTGCCTCCCAACTGGGCAGGCGGGTGGGAAGGGACCCGCAGGCGAGGAGGGGAATTATCCGGACGAGAAAGAGGCACTGGAAACAGCCTGCTGGACCAGGTACTGGGACCGCCAGCCTCACCCTCTAGTTGCGTCACCCGGCCCACCGCCCCCTGAGACATCACAATCTGGGGGCCGGGACCCCGCAGCCGCATCACCGCGCGTTTGCAAACAAACAATCCAACCAACACCCCAGGGAAAAAAAAAGAAACCAGCCTGAGCC